CTAAAGTCACCTGAACGAAATTTTCTGAACCATCGTTGACACTTACGAACATTCAAAATATTTCTATAAACTTCTTTGATATTATTTGTAGCTTCAGAGACGTCGTTTCCCTTCTTATATTCAAACGCATTACATGCCGAATGTATATCTCGTCATGTACCATCACTATAAGGGATTAGAGTATACTATACTTTACACATTATATAGTCTACACTAACGTGACGTTTAGGCGGTTCCTTTAACTATTATACGTGATGTACGTTTTTAGGGGGGGGGTTAATGAAAGTGTTCCAAAACGCGATATTAATTTCTTGACGACATAATACATTTGCAGTGTTAATTATCTAACATTCCAAATATATATAGCTAATATTCATTGATACTTCAGTCGTTATGTAGCCGTATCTTTATCTATACTTAATATTTTGCTCTAGAAAAATCTTTATATTAATACTTTCGTTTAGTATCATTTACAAAATCGAATTTCAAGATCGATTTTTGGTGATCCTACCCCTGGTACAAAATGTTACCCAACTTGCCCGAACAACAAATGTTAAATTGCTTTATAGTTTATATCAGTATTTCTATTGAAAAGCATATAATAGTAAAATAATTAATGAAAACTAAACTTATTCTAGTTGGATGAGTTAATTTAATAAGCAAACAAGCACATTAATGCAAATTAATAAGGCTGATCCAGACGGTCAATTTTTCGATTTGTTTAAAAAATGCGACATTGGTGATAATCCTTGAACAACAGTGTTTACCTCGGCTCAAAAATAACTTATAAAACCAGGTTTATATTTGACCGAAGAACTGTGTATGTGTGGGTGTCAGTCATGTTCAAACCAAAAGTACCCTCGCAAGCTTCATTTGAAGATAACAAAATATATTTTATTTATTATTTACAAATATATCGTATATTTGTAGACGAATATTAGTATTGAACCCTGAAAGTTGCAATTATAGTCCTTATCTACACATAACGATAACCACGAACCTTATCTGTAGCTTTTCTTATTAACACAACGTGATATATCCCATTATTTTACACAACATAACAATTTTGGGTTCTAAATGTACTTGTTTTTTATTCTTATTAAAAAAATCAAATTTCTCTACAAACACCTTACTTGACTATGCATCTATGTGGTATACTATGAATTCTATCCGAAATTCATTTTTATAATTAATACACATTATAATTGACAACATTTAAATCCAATGAACAACTTATTTGATACAGCTAATTCCTCCCAGACTGGTCATATTCAAGAGTTGGTTTTTTTTCAGTGTGTTTATGTAATATTACGGATAAGTTTCTCAGTATGTAGTTGTTTTCTGGATACCATGTAATAATACGGATAAGTTTGTCAGTGTGTAGTTGTTTGCTATGTACCATGTAATAATATGGATACGTTTGTCAGTGTGCAGTTGTTTGCTATGTACCATGTAATAATACGGATAAGTTTCTCAGTATGAAGTTGTTTGCTGTGTACCATGTAATAATACGGATACGTTTGTCAGTGTGTGGTTGTTTGCTATGTACCATGTAATAATACGGATACGTTTGTCAGTG